TGGGAGGGGGAGAGGAGGGTCTGCCAGGGCCACCCCCCTGCCCGCGATGGGTGCCAGGCTCAGCCCCCCTACCGGTGTCCCCCCAGGGGACTCCGACCCCTGCTGGGACAGGGGAGGTGGCATCGAGACCCCCGCTCCCAGCCCAGACAGGGCACACCGTACCTGAGTGTTTGGTCAGCCAGTACCTGTCCCCAGTGGTCTCACGCGTCTTCCAGGTGATGGGGACGATCCAGGTATAGCTGTGACAGGGACAGGCAGGCAGTGGGACCGACCCTTGCCCCCCTGGCCCCTGCGCTGCTGATGGCCCCCCGCCCCACTCACTTGAAGACAGAGGGTCTCTCCACCACGGAGGTGGGGTCCAGCAGGAAGTGGTCCTGTCTGACGTCGCCGGTGAGGGTGTTGACGGTCACCACGGGGAAGCCCATCTGCAGCGTCCAGCGGTCCATGATATCGCTGATGGTGTTGGGCAGTGAGACATTGTTCTCCATGACAGCCTGCAGGGAGGGCAGCACCACGGGTCACCGGTGCCAGGGGGTCCGTGTGGGGTGCAGGGCTCAGCCGGTGCTGCACCTCTCACCCAGCACGCAGCAGCTGCGTGGCCAGGACCCCATCCTGCCGGCAGCCCCCCAGAGCCAGGGCAGCGGCGGGGAAGGGGCTGGGTTGGGGGGAGCAGCCGGGAGCAGCCAGCCCCCTCCTACCTTTTGCAAATGAGACCAGAGGTCCATGTAGGTGGTGCTTCCATAGGCGAAGGTGTGGAGGTAGGACTGTGGGAGAGCACCAAGAGAGACAGGTGGGCAGGGGCAGGTCCAGAGTACAGGACATCCGCAGAGCACCCGGGGAGGCCCCTGCCGCGGGCCACCCACCCCGCACCAGGGCTCAGTGCCCCCCAACACCAGCAGAGCCTCACCTGCAGCCCCTTCTTGAACACGTCCTCAGTGAGGAAGTCGGAGAGCATCCGCAGCACCGACGCTCCCTGCGGAGACAGCAGGTGAGAGACCCTGGGTGCGCAGGGCACCCCACAGCCCACCCCACCGCCCCAGGACCCCTGCACCCAGTTCCTGTGAACCTGGGGCTCACGTGCCCACCTTGCTGTAGG